GTTAGAAATAAAAAAACGAGAATGCCTTTGTAACATAACTTTGTGTGGCGGTTCATTGTACGACGTAAAGAATTCATTGACAGGTTGTTCGGTACGCTCCGGGAGCCGGCCCCGCCGTTCTGGCGGAGAGAACATTTCCGTCTCAGTCGGTATAAGGCCGTCCTGTGTTCCCATCAACCGAAGCCTACCGACTGAGCTGTTACACGCAATCCACAATGCGATGATATCGCCCAAGTATCACAAGCCGCAACTGACATTCAAACTGATATAAACAACGAAACTTGTTATATGAAAAGTTTGGACCCGGAAGTTCCAGACTCAAAATGGCAGACGAACTGGGGGCGTAACACCATTGGAAGTTGCGGTCGATAGTATGAATGATAAATGGAGTGAAATGTCACCGGCGACGCACTGAGATGCGGGTTTCTCTCGTTGCTAACGAGTGCTGGAATATCTCTTTATACGATGTTAATGGACTGGTGACTCCCTGACCGCTGCAGTCCACAAATTCTAATTTCAGCTGTATGGAGGATATCGCGGTTATTTGGCAAAATAGGAAAACAATTAATCGAGGAAAAGTTGTAGAAAATCGTGCGTGCCAATCTCAAGTGTTGGAATTTTCTTTTTAAAACCTGTGACGAGCCGTTATGTCGCTACGCGTTTTACAGGTTAGTAGCAAAAAGTTGGGGCACGCGATAGCGTAGTTGTATGAGGCACTATGCTACATGCCGGAAGATCGCGGGTTCGATTCCCGATGAGGTCATTGGATTTTTCAGTTGACTTAATCCTTCCAGGCACACTATGGCTCTGGGGTCGACTCAGCCTCTGGCAGAAATGAGTAGCAGGACACTTCCGGGGGGGTAAAGGGAGGCCTGCCGGCGCGTAACGCTGACAACCTCACAGCCATCTGTGAGCTGATTGTCTAGATAATGTGGAGCCTCAATCTATCACAACCTTATGGGCCTTCGCGGCCTGTTGCAAGGATAGCTTTACCTTTCTTTTTAATTCGCTAGTGGGGGGGTGGAGTCCAACCAGGTCCACTCGGCACAGCGGCCACTGATTGGCCAATTGTAACCTACCCCGGGTGATTATGATGATGGAGAATTTGGTGGAATGAAAATTGGCAGGAGAAACCGAAGTACTTGGAGAAAACCCAGCCCAGCGCCATTTTGTCCACCACAAATCCCACTTGACCAGACCCGGGATCGAATCCGGGAGGCCGCGGTGGGAAGCCACCGACTATACTTTGGCTCATTTCACTGCTCCTCCTACACTTATTATCGAGGAGAAGATATTCCAGTGATTCCGTCCAGTCTGAGTGAAAGAGCAAGGTATGAACGGCTACAGCAGATTTCGTCACGGGGGGGGGGGGGCTATCTGTTAGAGCAGTTAAATAGACTATATAAAAAAAACGAAGACAGAGCTACAGCAAAATCCGTACTGAAGAAATAACTGTAATACAAAGCCAGCTGGATTCAACATATGGATAGAAAACAAAGAAACATACTTCTCGTTAAAAATACAACCCACGTGCATCAAGAAAACGGGTAAGACCGTCAACAAGACGTCTAGACGATCCAGGCCGCAACGGGTTAAGAAGTGACCTAACTCCCTGACTGCTAGACGGTAATGATATATGATCAATTTGCGATTGAGCAGTTCTGGAGCACAACGACATACCGTATAAAGATAGAGAGAGAAAAAAAGTCGGTCTCTTTTAACAATTTCTTTGCGTTAGTTCACTTGCGTGTTTCAAGTTTCAAAGTCGTGTACATAATGCCTTTGAAGGGAACGGAAATGAGCCGGAAGTGGGGAAAGGAAGGAAACCCCAATCTAAGACGACGATCATGGCGTTTAATGAACAGTCTGTTATTCACAGATTGTTCCAAAAACTTGGTGTTCACAGGTCATTCGTTCCATAAGATGGTGAACAGTATTCATAATCAACTAAGTACGAGATAGTACATCAACGTGCCATTTTCCGAGATCAACGAAAGTAACTGACGCTTTTCGTCACACCCCTCTTTGTTCAGTGTTTCCAAAACTGTTTTAGGACAATTTTATAAGGCAATTTATGTCATTTAGACAATAATTAAAATAGTACAATTGCGCCAGCCATTGTGAGGCGAGAACAAATATATTATCAAGGAGACACAGGAGATTGGAGAAAACTGCATAAGGAGCTTCATAACTTGTACATTTCTCCAAGTATAATTAGAATGATCAAGTCAAGGAGGATGAAGTGGGCAGGGCATGTAGCGCGAATGGGGGAGACGAGGAAAGCGTATAGGATATCGGTGGGAAAGCCAGAAGGAAACAGACCACAGGGAAGACCAAGCAGTAGGTGGGTGGACAATATTAGAATGGATCTTAGAGAGATAGGATGGGATAGTATGGATTGGATAGATCTGGCTCAGGATAGGGACCAGTGGAGGGCTCTCGTGAACAGGGTAATGAACCTTCGGGTTCGATAAAATGCTGGGAAATTCTTGAGTAGCTGCAGAATTGGTGGCTCCTCCAGGAGGGCTCAGCTCCATGAGTAAGTAAGTAAGTAAGTAAGTAAGTAAGTAAGTAAGTAAGTAAGGAGACATAGGAGTCGATGTCCAATTACTTACGAAAAGCGACTTTTCACGTGGTGTTCAGCAGTGTTTCTCCTCTTTCTGGTGGTATATAATACTATGTCAAGTTCCTCTTTATAAAGAAAGTAAACATGTTTAAAATGACACTACATATAATATAGGAGTATAGTTCGTTTAAAAAAACAATTTTCATTTATTTTTTAATCTCACTTTCCGTTTTGTCAAATTTTGAATATTATATGTCAAAGAAATGAGCGAAAATATTTTAATGAACATTACAGCTCAGGCAACAGTGTTAACAAAATTTTTACACTGAACCCACCCGACAAATTTAATCTCTGTGACATGGCGTCCTATGCCTCCGAAGCACAGATATACTGAGTGTAATGAATGTTTCAATAAGAAGAAAGAATCGACATAAAATATGATTAAGAAAAAAACAATTTTTTTTGTTCCACACACATCAGTGTGTCTGCAAGTAATATTATCAACTGAAGTGAGTCTTTCACAGGGTCAGTTTTTACTTCAGGAGCAGACACTGGACAAAGTAAAGTTTCTAACTTATCGAGCACGAACTCGAAGAACATATCTCCAAAAAGAAGGGCAAAGCAAGCTAAGTAAAATGTTCCAGTAGTAGTTAAATATATAAGAGTAATTGAAGGAGTACCAAAACCTCCACGTTCATAAGTTTATACAATTTTTAGCCAAGCTTTTCTCCCTCTACCATATCTCTAGAGACTTAAACGCCATTAATTTAATGGTCGCGGTTCTCCACGGGATATCTCGAAAATAAGTTTGCTCAGGTTAATGACCATCGGAGAGCCAAATGTGAAGTGACGGGGAGCAGGAGACGCAGAGAAGCAATATGACACGGCCGATGTGTGTCACGTGACGTGATGAATCTGTGGCTCTTGGCCAAGGACCCGAGGCGTTCGATCTGTGTTCATAATGTGGATAGTCCTGAAATGCTGTATCGCGCTCGGGCTATTTGGAAGTAGAATGCAGGCACGCACGTGGGTTTGTCTGTATGCGACAAAAGACACGATTTATTTACAGAACAACTTACTTTTTGTGTAATTTTCCATGCAAAAGTCTGCTCTAGCAATTAGAATAAATGGGAATAAATGTATGTTTTTTTTTCCTTGGCACTACAGCCCCAGTAGGCCTAGGCCTACCTCCATGAACTTCTCCGTTCACTTCGGTTTTTCTAGATCTTACACATTCGGTAGGACTCCTTGGGCGGGTGATCAACTCGTCGCAAGGCCTCTACCTGTACACAAACACAAAAAACGCACACACACAAACTAAACATCAATGCCCTGATTGGGATTCGAACCGACGATCCCGGTTTCCAAGCGAGCGAAGACCAGTACATGCCTTAGACCGCTCGGCTACCGTGACCGGCCAGTACGCCATTACCGTTGCTTATTACCGAACAACAACGCTGACCAATAAAGTAATTTCCGACAACATCTGATGTTCTGCACTTGGATCCCTAGTACGCGAACTGCTGTTATCCTGAAGATGCCACCTATATATAATTTTATTCTGGGCGATGCTCTCCATAAATTACTGAAATTTAGCTCAATCAAAATCGTTAGAGCTCTTTTCGAGAAAGTCGCCATTTTGTATTTTGAGGCTCGTCTGAAGGCCCACGTTTTTTGCAGGTGAAACTTTCACTTTGCACGGGGAACCGACCTAGGATGGATAAACGCGTGAATCCTGAATATGAATAAGAGCCCTCGTACCGTTCAGGTGCGAACTTCCATACATACATACAGATACACAGCACACTGAAACCCATTTTTTTATGTAGGATTTGAGGTTCTCACGGCAGTGATTATGAAGAGTACTGTCTTCTGGGATATAACGCCGTGTAGTCAGTTGAAAATCAACCGACGTTTCGGAGGAACATATCGCCTCCGTCTTCAGTGTCGAATAAAGTGAGCAAGATACCAGCGTGAAAGCAAGTGGCGATATGTTCCTCCGAAACGTCGGTTGACTTTCAACAGAGTACACCGCGTTATAACCTAGAAGATAGTTCTTCATATTCAGAGGGGGGGTGAGGGGTGTCAAAACTTGTAAATCCGTAAAAATTCTGAGATCGACATTTCGACCATTGCAGTATGTTCGCGTATTATATTACGTATATGAGACTGTAATGTGCCATTTTCAGAGCAGTTTCGTTGTGATGTTGCTTCTTTTCAAAGACACGGCATCCCCACTCACACATAAAAGCAGTACGGGGGGGGGAGTAGGTAAGGCAACGAAGTTCTAGCCTGCTTTGCCTACTTTTCTTATCAAACGTCGTTACAATCGAATGAAGATTTTTAAAGCAAGTTTAGCGAAGTCAGAGCTTACATATAACCTTAACATTTCACGAGAAGGAACAGAAATTTGTGAAATTCATATGTAACTCACATGCATGTAAGGTGTCAGGCGGCGCGGGACCCTCAGCCGAGCACTCGTTATGTTTCCACGTCCATACTCTGCTCAGGTCACGAGTATTTTTCCGGGCTTGTGTTTTGCGTGGGTCGGTTCCTGTCCAGGCACCTTAAAATAAAAGATAAAACTATTCATTACATTTATAATCGTCTTTTTTTAGGCGAACTTGTAACAATGACCAGAAACAGGCAGAAACATTACAAGGTTCATATCACAGCGTCAATTAAACCGAAAAGTTATTTTTAATTTCTAGGTGTTGGGTGAGACTGAGTTCACTTGGTATGTCGGCCACTATTTGACCTATTGTACCAGCCCCGGATGGCAGATGGTGATTATTGAGCAGTCGGTGGAATAAGATTTTGCAGGGGAAACTGAAGTACTAGGAAAAAACCTGCCCCAGTGCCACTCGTCCACCACAAACCCCACGTGACCTGACCTGGGATCTAACCCGGGCTGCCCCGGTGGGAAGCCGGTGGCTAACCGCCTGAGTTATGGCACGGCCAACCGAAAAGCTGAGTCTAAAAGCAACGATCTAGATTTAAATTTATGAGGTGCTTGATTCGAATCTCGGCCGTGACACCGGCTATCCCGAGTCTTGTAGTTTCCCTCAGCCCCTGAAGACAAATTCCTGGACAGTATGTCGATTAGACCGCGACAGTTTCCTTCCAAATCCTTTCCAGTTCACCATAATTCATCTTTCATCCTATCCTCCGATGCTGTGTGGCCTCGATAATGAACGAATCGTTAAATGACTCATAAAAATAAGCGTACAGTTCTGCTGTTTTATAGAGACTTCTGACCTTGAGGTTCGGCCGCGCAGGAAACTTGGATAAGTCCCCTTAAGGGAAGTGGAAGTCATTTTGTGGTTGGCTGCGTAAAAGAGACTTGGAGTGTGGAGAAATTGTGATGAGTATAAAAACATCTGCTTTTGGTGTGACGCCTGTGTTAAAGCAAACTACAGCATTTACATGTGCGTAGCCAATTAAGAAAGGAAGTGATCTGTCATAAGTCTAATGGTGTAACAGTATAATCCTTATATGAAACTATATAAATAAATCATATAATAATTGACGGTTTCTATTTCTATAGCCACTTTGTCACTACTTCTCTCCTTTTCTGCTACCAATATGGGATGTCACTATTTTGCTTACCCTCTACTCTTATCACCCACCCCTCTCTTGCAACCATTATGAAGTCATTTTTTTATTGCTGGAGGGGTGGGACTAAGTCACTGCGGCCACATCTGGCCTATTGTACCAACCCCAGATGATAGGTGAGGATGATTGTGGAGCAATTGGTGGAATGACGATTGACAGGGGAAACCGAAGTACTCGGAGAAAACCTGCCCCAGCGCTACTTTGTCCACCACAAATCCCACTTGACCAGAGCCGGGATCGAATCCGGGCCACCGCGGTGGGAAGCCAGCGACTAACCGTTTGAGCTATGGCGCGGAACTATTTTGCTTACCCTCTACTCTTATCAGCCACCCCTTCTTGCAGCCATCATGAAGTCACAGTACTGTATGAAGTGGTGATGGGTGCAGCAAGGACACCTCAGGCAAACCTTCACATGACTTAACTAGGCATCGCTATAATCTGAACACACAATAGAACGAGGGAAAGAGCCCAGAAGTAAAAACAAGGCAGATGGATGTTCCATATGGTAATGAAACCAATTTCATTTGCACTGATTATTTCAGTTACTTTTTATTTGCAACAGCTGAAGCATACACTAAAATGGGGAAATGGATGAGTAATTTTGCCCTATAAGGAATGAAGTGGGCAATTTAGGATATTAAATATGGAAGGATGTCGCGAGTTTGTCAGTCATATAGTATTATTTAGTAAAATATTTAGTTACAGTGAGTTGGGCATGTAGCAGGCAAGAAAGAGTGCAGAATTTTGCTAGAAGATCTTTTGGAATACTGAGGAGGGGGAAGAACAGCTTTCAGATGGGTCATATGATAGAACAACGCTGGGTTTACATATAGGCGCTACACTAAATAAGCCACGGAGTAGGGCTTCAGCTTTAATACAACTACATTATAATACCAGCGATCATCTTTTTAGGTATGGGACCTCAGAAGCTTGGCATAGCTACGGCCACAGAATATCTAAATCTGGTGTTCTGGATGGAATAGCTCTGGATCCTGTCCAATGGCAAGCTTTGATGTTAGCCTCTTTGAAGCTTAGGGTTCTGTTACCAAACTTTTGGTTACTTGATTGGTTATTTAGTTCACTCGTTCGTAACTAGATGAAAACTAGAATTGTATAAGCTGAAAGTATTTAGAATGCTTCTTTATGCCGGTATCAGATTTCATTACATTTGTGAATTCTTTGTGCTTCGAAAATATACAGTTAGGCCTACATAGGGCCGCGCCATAGCTCAAGCGGTTAGTTGCTGGCTTCCAACCGCGGCGGCCCGGGTTAGATCCCGGGTCTGGTCAAGTGAGATTTGCGGTGGACAAAGTGGCGCTGGGGCAGGTTTCTCCGAACACTTCGGTTTCCCCTGCCAATCTTCATTCCACCAATTGCTTCACAATCACCCTCGCCTATCATCTGGGGCTGGTACAATAGGCCAGAAGTGGCCGCAGTACAAGGGACTCAGTCCCACCCCACTAGCAATAATAGGCCTACATAACAAACTGTTTCCCTATAATTCTACAAATTATTCCTCACGTTAATTTCCTTATTCGGCGAAGGTTTAACAGGAAATTTTCCAATATAATGTTGGGGTTCTCAAAGTACGTGCCAGCTTCACTTGACATCGGCCTGCTTTACAGAACTTAACCAAAATCTGATATACAGACCAGAGGTGTAAATACTTTCAGACGCTGAAGATAGCCAGTGACACGCAAGTACAGATGGGCAGTGTATATGAACGAACGCCTACTTCGTGAGAGGCATATTCTAATAAAAAGAATGGAAAGCAATACTCTGTAATATGCAGATTTCCTGGTGGCGTCCTTTGTGGTTGTGTACTCCTTACTGGTCTTGATAATTTGCAGATAGAATCAACTGCTTACAAAGCCACTCAGCTGTACAGACACTAAACTGGACAGATACATGTATTTTTTTTTTCTCATAGGGTGAGACTGAGTCCACTAGGTACTGCGGCTACTGTTTTGATTATTGTACCATCCCAAGATGATAGATGATGATTGTGGAGCAATCGGTGGAATGAGAATTGGCAGGGGAAGCCGAATTACACCGAGAAAACCTGCCCCAATGCCACTTTGTCCACTATAAATCCCACATGACACGTCATACCCGGGCCGCCGCGGTGGGAAGGGGGCAAACAGCCTGAGCTATGGCAAGGCCCCCAGATGCATGTAAGCCTTTCATTAGATATACTGAAAAGTGGGGTATGCTAATTGCAAGCTACTGATCTTAATGAGCACTTTCATATATACGGACCAAAATCAGAGCTGGGGAACTTTTAGTGCAGATCCTGTATACCAAATTTTTGCCATCCTTTGCGGAATCCCTCTTCCTTTCCACTATGCTTTTCATTTCAGGCGCTCGGTGCAAAGGCCGATTAATAGTAAAGTGAATATAAAAATTAAACATTTAAAATGTATTCCAAATCGATATAACTCAGCACATAACGTACTTGAGTGGCATTCTTGAGGTCTGCCCCGGTAAATCGAGGTTTATTAACAAATTTTTACGTTTCCCTGTGTCGCTCCAGGCGAACGCTGAAGCGGTCACAGGCGGAGAGTGACTGGTCATTGCTGAGGGTAAGTAAAAAGAGTAAAATTGTCCCTATGCTTAACTAATTAAGCACTACGCCATGGAGAAGTATGGGGGAGTGGATGTATAGATCCATATTTTCTTGACCTGAGCACTAGCTGGAGGTGAGTGGTCAGCTTCACGCCCGAAAGTTTTACCCCTGGAGAAAGAGCCCCTGATACCCATTGGAGAGGAGGCTTTGTCGGCCCCAGAGCCGGTCTAGACTCTGTGGAGAAGAGATAAATCTTGCCCCTATCGGGAATCGAAGTCTGACCTTCTAGCCCGCAGCCCGTTTTTATACCTACTGAGCTTCCCCGACTCCGCCGACCGCTGTTTACTGAATGTGGTTAGTGAATGACCGCCTCTGTGGTCTAGTGGACAGAGCTCCTGACTACAGACTCTGAGGTCCCTGGTTCGATTCCCGGAGATACCAAGTTTTCTGAGGAGTAGTGGGTCTAGAACGGGGTCCATTCAGCCTCGTGATGAAAATTGAGGAGGTACTATATTTCAAGGAAATAGCGGCTCCGTTCTAGAAAACCGAAATATGGCCGTGAGGATTCGTTGCGCTGCCCACGCGCCACCCTCTATCCGCTAAAGTTGGCACTAACTTCGCCGACAAGCGGCGGTCGCTCGGTCGGTATTGTTCGCTTGCGGACTCAAACCAGAGCGTTTAGTTTTTATTTTTTAGGAAGGGAATATATTTTACTGCGCTACCGAGAGAGGCGAAATTTGAAACCAATAAGGCGGCCTATTCTATGATACTGGTGAGTAGCATTGAGCACCCCACTTGTCTCCATTAGCCTCGCACTGAAAGCATGGCGTGATACTTAGGGTTCACGACTAGTTCATCCCTAAAAGCCGAATACTGTTTTAAAGTGTCCAGAAAGCTCACAGCTTTACGTTAGTTAGACAGGCGCTCCCAGCCAATAGAAAATCGCGGGAAAGTGACCAACACATGTTGTACAGGAAATTGTTAATGTCCGTTTCTCAGAGCGACACAGAATTACTGGGATTTTGGACTTCCCATCATCCGGAATTCGAGGTAATATAGGACACGACGTTTTGGAAAATGGATCTGTTTCCGTCAGTTTCAATCAGTGATTGAGATTAGCTCTTTTCAAGGGACCCAACTGAGTAGGTGTTTTCCTTTCTCACCTGAAGACGGAAACAGATCCAGTTCCCGAAACGTCGTGTCCCCTATTACCTAGAATTCCGGACGATGGAAATAGTCCAAAACCCCCGTAATTCTGTGTGTCATCCACCATCATCAGAACCCTTTAGAATCGACAGTTATGATTAATTTAAGACACGGCATGTGGGTCTGTTTAAAACAAAAAAGAGCGCTCTGGAATGGAAAAGATGATGGCTACCGGCCTC